AGTGTCCCTGCCTCTGAGCCAAGAGACCTGGCTTCAAGTCCTACCTACTCTAGAGTTGTTTAATAGCTTCTCTAAAGATCAGTAACCCAGGAAAGGATCTTCTAATAACTTATCTGGAAAGGATTCTAAGAATGCTACAAAGCCTGTTGATTGTGTTCAATTGTTCATTTTCTTTCCACAATGTTCTATATCCATGGGACCGTGCTGTTAGCAGTCACAGTCTATGACATGTTTCCACTCCCAAACACTAACAGTAAAAGGTGCCTTACACTGAAAAACTGGTGACATATCACTTCCACTTCATTGGGAAATGGGTTGGAGTTTGATTCACCAACGTTATGAAACCGGTTCCTCACATCTGCTGTTATTCTTTTTTGTGTAAAGAAGTGAATAAATGCTGATGGAAAGCAGGGAAAGATGTTTGACATTAATTCCCCCAGTTCACACTGAATTGGAGCTCAACAACTACTGATTCAATACTCACAAGCTGCAGAATAAATGAGTTGAACCCTTCTTGTGAAATCATTAATGAGGAATTTGAATAACGTTAAATCACAAAAAATTGTTTATTGATTACAAACCACAATTACCAGCATTTGTAGCTAAACATTGATAGTACATAGATAAAGATGACTTCTCAATAAATAGACTGTAACTATTCAATTTACAACTATGTTACGTAAGAGTTCACATTTGGCAAATTAAAGTGCAAAAGCGATCAGTTCCCTCCAATATAAAAAGTGCTTCTGAGTTGCCTTTGGACATTAGAGATGAAGAAGGGTCTCGACTCGAAACATCAGCTTTCCTGCTCCTCTGATGCTGCTTGGCCTGCTGTGTTCATCCAGCTCTGCACCGTGTTATCTCAGATTCTCCAGCATCGGCAGTTCCTACTATCTCTGCCTTTGGACATTGTTTCATTTCAGGCAAATTATGAAAGCATGAAGACAATGAAAATGAGAAAGTGTGAGGGAGAAACCGTCCATGACGATGAAGATGGCAACACTGCTCACATTTCCGAGACAGGATGAAAGCATGAATTCAGAAGGCCTGACTTGGTGACTGAGGATCACAATATGCAGATCTGGAATACACTGTTCAATCTGTGGAAACACATTCCCAGGAACATTTAATTGCATTCCTGAAAGAACTGGGTGCGAACAATGAACTGCAATTCCATGTGAGCCGTGATATGGAAGGATCAACGATGATGTCCATGTTCACACAAGAACAGGAGAATCCCATCTTTCCTCAAAGAGGCTCTGGGAATCATAGAATCCCTACAACGTGGAAGCAGGTTATTTGGTCCATTGAGTCCACACTGGCCACCTGAAGAGCATCTCACCTTGATCACCAACCTACAGTATCCCTGTAACTCTACGTTTCCCACGGCCAATCCACCTAACCTGCACATCTGTGAACTGTGGGAGGAAACCAGAGCACTCAGAGGGAACCTAAAGGGAGAACATGCAAACTCCAGTCACCTAAGTGTGGAATCAAATCCGGGTCTCTGGCACTGTGAGGCAGGCTGAGGCAGCAGTGCTAACCACTGAGCCACCGGGCCACGTCCTATTTGGAAGGAATGTCCTGCAGTGGAGCCCAGGATACCCATGAGGTAAGGACACAAGGCAGTCACTTCAGGGAGGGGAGTGGAGTGAAATTTGTCTGACAGGTTTTAACCGTGTCTGGGAGAGTGAGACAGGGTCCCGGACAGAGTAGTATGATTACAAATACATTAATGGAGGGCGAATAAAATGTCACTTCCTGAGTCATGAATGAGGTGGAACAGAGACATCAGAAGCTGACAGAGAAACATAACATGAGCAATTAAATATCAAATGAAACAGTGTGAGATATTCTCTATCATTTACTGGATCCAGATTCAATCACCCTCAGCATTAACTAACCAGCACAGTGCGGAGGGAAAGGAGGGGGAGGGAATAGGGATGAGGAACTGAAAAGAAGAATTGGGGTATGAGGGATTCAAGCAGTGGAGGATTGGAAGGAGTGGATCTGGGGGTATGAAGATGAGGAAGAGGGGGAATAAGAGAATGGGGGGTGAGGGACTACAGAGTGAGGAGGCAAGCGTCACCCTGAATCACACCCGGACAATGTAACTCTACAGCTTTCAGTCCCTTCTCCACCACTCCCAACACTCTGACCCCTTAGTCGCTTACTGCAAACTGGTGTATTTGTCGCACTTGATATATGTGCAGAAACAAAATAAATGTCCATTAGAATAATCAATTCTCAGAGTGAGAACACAAGTTAATTTGTTGATATTCAGTCTGATATTCTCTCACTTTTCCCTCCCAGTACTGGAGATTCCCCACGCTCTCTCTCTCCATGCAGTTCCACATCCCTTCCTCATTGAACCTTACCTTTCCATGACCTTATCCAAATGATCATTACGATTATCCAGAACACTGCAGCAAAAAGGAATCCAAGTATCATTCCAAGATGGATGTGTTCCCCACTGTTTCCTGGGGTTTCTGAAACACATTGTAATAACATCAGAACTGTTTCTGTTCCCAGATCCATTCCCAGTTCTGTATTCATGGGGACAATTTTAACTATTCCCACCCACTGGGAAATGATGGAATTGGTTGAAATTTTGGTTTGACCCTCACTCAATTTCACTCTCCAGTGAAGTAACAAAAGATCCCATTGATGGGAGTGTAAACACTGAGTTGTCCCAGTCCTGGGGGTTTATATCCATGTTTACAAATGACATTAGTTAGGAGGCACAATGGAAGGATATTGACAGATGAAAGGAGTGAATTCCAACCATTATAGTTTATATCCAATGTGGGGAAATGTGAGATCATTCCTGTTAAACCTGAGAAAAACAAATCTGAACATTTTCCTGTCATTTAGAGATTAGGAGATGTTAAATGTAGTGAATTTTGTAAGACCATGCATAAATCATGAATTTTTTTAAATTCATGCATATTGCTGGCATGCCAGTATTTTATTTCTTAGCCCTAGTTGCCCTTGAGAAGTTGGTGTTAAGCTGCCTTCATAAACCACTGCAGTCCACACACTCTGGGTCGACCCACAATATCATTTGGGAGCGCATTCCAGGATTTTGACCCAGTGACAGTGGAGGATCAATGATATATTTCCAAGTCAGGATGGTAAGCGATTTGGAGGGGAACTTGCAGGTGGTTCTGTTCCCACATATCTGCTGTCCTTGTCCTTGTAGATGCACGGTCTTGGAAGGTGCTGGCTAAGAATCTTTGAATTTCTTTTAGATAGTACACACTGCTGCTACTGAGCGTCAGTGGTGGAGGGAGTGGATATTTGTGAATATGGTGCCAATCAAGCTGGCCACTTTGTCCAGGATGTTGAAAAGCTTCTTGAGTGTTGTTGGAGCTGCACCCATCCAGGCAAATGGGAATATTCGTTACATTCCTGACTTGTACCTTGTCGATGGTGGATAGTCTTTGGGGAATCAGGAAATGAGTTACTGACTACTGTATTCCTAGCTTCTGACTTGCTCTTGTAACCGTGGTGTTTATGTGTTTGGGTTTCTGGTCAAAGGTAACCTCAAAGATGTTGGTAGTGGAGGATTCCGTGATTGCAACACCATTGAATGTCAACGGGTGATGGTTCGATGGTTTCTTATTGGAGATGATCATTACCTGGCATTTGTGTGGCACGAAGGTTACTTGTCACTTGTCAGCCTAAGCCTGGATATTGTACAGATCTTATTGCATTTGAACTTAGACTACAGTTCAGAGGAGTCACATGTGGTGCTGAACGTTGTACAATCATTGGCAAACATCTCCACTTCTGACCTGATGATAGAGGGAAGGTAAATGATGAAGTAGCTGAAAATGGTTGGTCCTGGGAAAATACCCTGTGGAATTCCTGTAGAGATGTCCTGGAGCTGAGATGAGTGACCTCCAACAAGAACAACACCTTACTATGTGCCAGGTATGGCTCCAGCCAGGGGAGAGTTTGCCCTCCGTGCCCATTGATTCCAGTTTTGCCTTGCCTCCTTGATGCGATACCCAGTCAAATGCAGCATTGATGTCAAGGGCTGTCACTCTCACCTCACTTCTGGAATTGAGCTCTTTTGGCCATGTTTGAACCAAGGCTGTAATGAGGTCAGGAGCTCAGTGGCCCTGGTGGAACCCAAACTGGGCATCACTGAGCAGGTTATTGCTGAGCAAGTGCTGCTGGATAGCACTGTTCATGACACCTTCCATCACTTTACTGATGATCGAGAGTAGACTGATGGGGTGGTAATTGGCCAGGTTGGATTTTTCCTGCTTTTTTTTCTCCAGGACATACCTGGGCAATTTTCCACATAGTCCCAGTAGACACTAAAGTTATAACTGTACTGGAAGGGCTTGGCTAAGGAATAAGGCTTCAGTACCTTTGCTGGAATGTTGTCAGGGCTCATAGCCTTTGTTGTATCCATTGCCTTCAACTGTTTCTTGATCTCATGTGGAGGAATCGAGTTGGCTAAAGACTGGCATCTGTGATGCTGGGGACCACTGGAGGAGACCGAGGTGGATCATCCACTATGCACTTCTGGCTCAAGATTGCTGTGATTGCTCCAGCTTTGTCTTTTACACTGATGTGCAGGACTCTTCCCTCATTGAGGATGGGGATATGTGTGGAAGCTCCTCCTCAAGGGAGCTGTTCAACTGTCCACCACCATTTACAACTGGATGTGGCAGGACTGCAGATCCGTTGGTTGTGAGGTCACTTCACTCTGTCACTTGTTTCTCATGCTATTTGTCATAGTTGTAGTCCTGTTTGGTAGCTTCACCAGGTTGACACCGCATCTTCAGGTATGCCTAATGCTGTTCCTGGCATCCCTTCTGCACTCTCCATTGAACCACGGTTGATCCACTGGCTTGATGGTTATGCTTAAATAAGGGATATACTGGGCCATGAGGTTGCAGATTGTGTTGGAGTAGAATCCTGCTGTTGCTGATGGCTCACAGTGCCTCATGGATGCTCAGTGTTGAGTTGCTAGATCTGTTTGAAGTCTGTACCACTTACCACGGTAATAGCGCCGCACAACACCCCTGAGAATATCCTCAAAGTGAAGGTGGAACTTTGTCACCACAAGGACTATGCGGTGGTCACTCTTACCAATATGGCAGATTGGGGCCAAGTATGTTTTTCTCTCTCGTTGGTTCCCTCACCATCTGCTACAGATGCAGTCTACCAGTTTATGTCCTTTAGGACCCGATCAGTAGCACTGCTGCTGAGCCACTCTTGGTGGTGGACATTGAAAACCCCCACCCAGGGGACACTTTGCGTCCTTGCCACCCTCAGTGCTTCCTCTAAGTGTTGATGAACATGGAGGAGTACTGATTCATCAGCTGAGGGAGGACGATACATGGAAACCAGGAGATTTCCATGCCTATGTTTAAGCTGAAACCATAAGAATTCATGGGATCTGGAATCAATGTTAGGAATTCTGAGGACAACTCCCTCTCAACTATATACCACTGTGCCACCACCTCGGTCTGTCCTGCCATGGGACAGGACATATCCAGGGATGGTGATGGTGATGGTGATGTCTGTCAGGTATGATTCCATGAGTCAGACTGTTGCTTGACGAATCTGTGAGAGTACTAGACCCCAGATGTTAGGATGGAGGGATCTGCAGGGTCAACAGGGCTGTTTCTGCCAAAGTCTTTTCTGGTGCCTGGGTCAATGCTGGACTATTTTCATTTCTTCATTGAAGTGTTCGTAGTGATTGGTACAACTGAGTGGCTTTAGTTCATACTGATTGGTACAACTAAGCCATTTCAAAGGGCAGTTGAGAGTCAACCACATGGTTGTGGGTCAGGAGTCACATGTTGGCCAGACCAGATAAGGACAGCGGATTCCCATCGTGGATTGACATGAGTGAGCTGGAAAGGTTTTTCCGATAATCGACAATACTTTCTTGGTCTTCAGCAGATTCTTAATTCTAAACATTTCTATTGATTTCAAATTCCACAATCTGCCACAGTGGGATTCGAACCCAAATCTCCAGAACATTAGCTCTGCTTCTGTATTAATAGTTAACTGATAATACCACTAGGCCATCACCTCCCTTCGTGGTTAATCCACTTTTAATAAACAAAAAATCAGTTAGTTTAATAGACTGTTGTCCTTTATCTCAAGGGAGTTACAATACAAAGTGAGGAAATTATATTTCTGTTGTGGAGCATTGGTCAGACTACATCTGCATAATTACATTCAGTCTGAAATATCAAATCTCAGATCAGAGAGCTTGACTGTGAAGTGGAGGAGCAGTGTAGATCCAGCAGAATAATCCCACAGATTCAAGGATTGAATTATAAAGTCCTGGTTTGGCATCTGTGCAGCCTTCAGGACTCAATATCGTGTTCAGCAATGTTCGGGTCATAACACCTTCTCCCATGTCCTTCCCCCAACTCCCAAGCACCAGGCCTTGTCATCACACGGGCTGCTTTCATCATGGCCAACCCATTGTCACCCACCAGTGTTCCCCATTAGCAGCTTTTACTTTTCTCTGGCTCATGATTATCCATTCCTTCTCTGCCCAACTGCTGTTCTCATACTCTTGCACTCCACTTCCACCTATCATTTCCTCCTTTACCCTGGTTCCCCCCAACCCATCTTTCGCATATATACCACCTTTTCCTTACTACACTCAGTTCCGAGGAACGGGACACTGCACCCCGAAATGTTGACTCTACTTTCTCTCCACAATTTCTGCCAAACCTGCTGAGTTGCTCCAGAAATTTCAGCTTTTGATTGAATTATTGGGGCTGGCTACATCATCTTCTTTTTAATTTTCTTCTGGGATGTGATTGTTATGGAACCATATAGAAGTCTATGGCACTGAAAATGGCCCTTTGGCACATTTTGACTGGCACAGATACAAACAACCATCTCACTATTCTAGTTGCATTTTCCAGCGCTTGGCCCATGGCCTCGTAGTCTTGACATCACAAGTGCACATCGGAATATTTCTTTAATGTTATGAGGGTTTCTATCTGCCATTTCAGGCATTGAGTTCTAGATTGCCACCACCCTCTAGATGGAAACATCCATCTTCACATCTCATCTAAAATTCCCATTCCTTACCTTAAATCTATGGCTGGTCATTAGTCCCTCCAAGAGGAAATATTTCTTTCTGTCTGCTGTGTTGATGCCACTCAAAATTTTATACATCTCTATCATGTGCTGTCTCAATCTCCTCTGCTCCAAGCCAAACAAGTTTAGTCTGTCCAATCTCTCTTCAAAACTAAAACTCTCCAGAGCCTGCAACATTTTGGTAAACCCTGCCTGCACCCTCTCCAGTGCAATCACATCCCCTTGTAATGTCGATTCCAGAACGGTACACAATACTCGAGCTGTGGTCCAACCTGCGATGCACTTATGTCCTTTAGAGAGGGAAGCTGCCATCCTTCCTATGTGACTCCAAATGATGGCTGGACAATTATAAATGGGCAATAAATGCTGGCCGAGCCAGCAATGCCCTCATCATGTGACTGATTATATGAAACAAAAAACAAATCTTTATATAGATCCAGCAAACATTTCTCAGTTCTTAAACTCAGTGCCTTGGCTAATAAAAGTTAGTATTCCATATGCCCTCTTAACCACTTTATCTATCCTGATGCACTAAGGGACCAGTGTACGGTACATCAAGGTCCCTCTGATCCTTGGTTACCAGGGTCCCACTGTTCAACCTATATTTCCTGGCCTTGTTTATCCTTCCCAAGTACAACATATTTGTCTGGATTGAATTCCATTTATCACTGATCAGCCCATTGACCAGCCCATCTGTATCCTCCTGTAACCTAAAATCGATCCTCCTCATGATTTACTATCCCACCTATTTTTGCATTGTCTGTGAACAAACTGATCAATTCTTCTCTATTGAAGTCTCAATCAATTATATAAACACAAACTGCAAGTGTGACTGGCTGGCTTGGCATTTTACCCAATGCTAATTGCCCAGAGAGCAGTTGAAAGTCACCCACACTGCGAATGGAGTGTGATGGAGACACTTGGCAGCAAGAACAGCTGGTTTCCTTCTGTAGAGGGAATCAATAAATGAAATGGGTTTTTATGAGTATTGACAATGGTTTCAGCGTCATCATTATACACATAATGCCAAATTTTTACTGTATTCAACTTCTGTCTCTGCCACAGTGGGATTCAAACTGAGGTCCCCAGACCTTTATACAATCTCTGTATTAACAGTCTGGTGATAGCACCACAACATCTCCTCCAGGGGTACCCAGCACAGATACTAGTCTTCAACCAATTCGATTCACTCCACGCAATGTCAAGAAATGGTTGGAGCCACTGGATACTGCAAAGGATATGAATCTTGACAATATTCTGGCAATAGTGCAGAAGACTTGTGTTCCAAAACTACTAGACTCTACCCAACAACATGGAAAATTGCCCAGGTATGTCCTGTACATGAAAAGCAGGAGAAATCCAACCTGGCCAATTATTGCTCCATCAGTCTACTCTCGATCTATTCTGAAGTGATACAAGGTATCATCAACAGTGCTATCAAGCAGCACCTGCTCAGCAACACCCAGTTTAGGGTCCACCAGGGCCACTCAGCTCCTGACCTCATTATAGACTTTGTTCCAACATGGACAAAAAAGATGAAATCCAGAGGTGAGGCGAGAGTGACAGCCCTTGACATCAATGCTGCATTTCACAGAGTGTGGCATCAAGGAGCCCTGGCAAAACTGGAATCAATGGGCATCAGGAGGCAAACTCTCCACCAGTTAGAGTCATACCTGGCACATCGGAAGCTCGTTGTGCTTGTTGGAAGTTAGTTATCTCAGCTCCAGGACATCTCTGCAAGAGTTCCTCAAGGTCGTGTCCCAGGCCCAACCATCTTCAGATGCTTTATTAACAACCTTTTCTCCACCAGATTAGAAATGGGATGTTCGCCAATGATTACACTATGTTCAGTACCACTCATCATTCCCCAAATACTGAAGCAGTCCATGTTCAAATGCAACAAAGTTGTGGGCTGATAAGTGGCAAATAACATTTGCGTTACGCAAGTGCCAGGCAATGACCATCTCCAATAAGAAACAATCTGATCATCAAAATTCAGAAAAGTTAATGGTGTTACCATCACTGAATCCCCCAATGTGAACATCCTTCGGGTTACCATTGATCAGAAACTGAACTGGACTTGCCACATCATCACAGTGGCTGCAAGAGCAGATCAGAGGCCAGGAACACTGAGGTGAGTAACTCACTTCCTGACTCCCAAAGCCTGTCTATCATCTACAGGGCACAAGTCAGGGATACTCCCCACTTGCCTGAATGGCTGCAGCTCCAACAACACTCAAGGAGCTTGGCACCATCCAGGAGAAAGCAGCCCATCCACTCCCTCCACCACTGACACTCAATAACAGCAGTGTGAACTATCTACAAGATGCACTGCCGAAATTCACCAAGCCTCCTTAGACAGTACCTTCCAAACCTACAATCACTTCCATTGAGAAGGACAAGGGCAGTATATATATGGAAACACCACCAGATGCTAGTTTCACTCCAAGCCACTCACTAGCTTTACTTGGACATACATTGGCGTTCCTTTACTGGCGCTGTGTCAAATAACTGGAATTCTTAAAGCCACATAAACGTGAACAGTAACAAACCAGATGTACAGACAGACACAGACACACACAAAATCCAGTTCCTTACCCCACTGATAGAGCTTGGCCTCTGACAGGCTGCAATGGTCAATTTGAAAGGAATATTGATCCTCATCCCCAGCATTGATTTCAATCTCTTTCTGGATCTGATGGGTCCCATCATGGTTCGGTCGAATCCCCGAGGATTGTGTCTCAGACATGACCTCTCCATTCCTTAGCCAGTTCACCTCGATGTCTACAGGATAAAATCCAGTGACCAGGCAGGAGAGAGTGAGCGGCTTGTCCTGACTATTGGACTCACTCCTGGAGATGAACACTTCAGGCTGAACTGTGATGGGAAAGGGTGAAAACACAAACAATAGACAGACACAGAATGGAATAGGATTATGGTTTGTTTGATCAGTAAAGTTAAAATAGAACTTGGGATCAAAACTGAAATATATACCTTTCCTTTCGAAATACTGCTTTCCTGAACAAACCCTTGCTCCAGATGCATTTCCCAATACTTGTTCCAGGATTCATCAGAATTCCATTTCTCTTTCGTCTTCACTGCATTGTGATTGGTTGCAATGCATCTAAATCTATCTGGCCCTAAACTCATGAAATCCTTTCCATCAAATCCAAATCTCATCGATCTCTTCACAGAGCCATCACCAGTGATTTCAACAGTTGCTATCCATTGAAAGGTGTGAATTTCTGCCAGTGATTAAACCGGAATTAATATTAAAAGTTTTTGCAAAAACTTACAACCGGTCTGATCAGAAGGGAAAGGGAAGCTATTATCTGATAGAACTGGGAGATTATAGTCCAGTAGTGACTGATATCAGGGGTCAGCATCGGGAGATGGACAGAGTGGGGTGACGCAGGGGTTGGTGCTAGGGGATGGACTGAGTGGAGTGACACAGGGGCTCGTGCTCGGGGATGGATTGAGTGGAGTGACACAGGAGCTGGTGCTCGGGGATGGACTGAGTGGAGTGACGCAGGAGTTGGTGCTTGGGGATGGACTGAGTGGAGTGACGCAGGAGTTGGTGCTCGGGAATGGACTGTGTGGAGTGATGCAGGAGTTGGTGCTAGGGGATGGACTGAGTGGAGTGACCCAGGGGATGGACTGAATGAAGTGACGCAGGGGCTGGCGCTAGGAGATTGACCGAGTGGAACACGCATGATTATCAGTTTCAATGCAAGTCAATATAGTTATTTGTCATCAGGAACATTGACTTCTTTGCCATGTATACACATGGTCAGTCATGTTCATACCTGGCAATTTACTCCCTACTGATTCATTTGTCACAAAACTACAATCATCGGACAATGCCTGTGCCCAGTGGGGATCAGATAGCTCAGTTGGCTGAACTGCTGGTTTTTGCTGCAGTGTGATAACAATAGCGTGGGTGCCATTCCCACACAGGCTGACATTACCATGAAGGACTTTCCATCTCAACCTTAACCTTTGCCAGGCGTGTTGACGCTCAGTTTAAACTCATCACCAGTTCTTGCTGTCTCCAGTGAGAAAGCATTCCTCTGAGACTGGGGCAACTTTGCCCTTTCACTATTCCAGAGGTCGAGGTGAATCATCTGTTAACATAGGCACAAATTACACAGCCAGGAGATTTTAAATTCAATTGTTACTATTCTGACTACAAAACTAATCTTCCTGATGATGAATACAAATCTGTTGCTGATTGTCATAACACCCCACTTGTTTCATGACTTTTGTTTAAGGGAAGGAAATGTGGTCTGACTTACAGGTGACTCCAGGCCTACATCAATGTAGCTTATTCTTAACTACCTTCTGAAATGGCCCAGCAAGTCATTCACTTCAGAGGCAATTAGGTATCATAGAATCCCTACAGTGTGGAAACAGAACCTTTGGTCCAACAAGTCCACACCAAAACTCACAGCATCCCACCCAGACCCATTGCCAAAAACCTGCCTAATCAACACATCCCTAAACACTGTGGGAAATTTAGCATGGCCAATCCACCTAGCCTGCCCATCTTTGGACTGTGGGAGGAAACCGGAGCACCCGGAGGAAACCCACGCAGACACAGGGAGAACGTACAAACTCCACACAACCTGTCACACGAGCGTGGAAGCGAACCAGGGTTCCCGGCGCTGTGAGGCAGCACTGCTAACCACTGAGCCACCATGCCGGTCTCAAGGATTGGGAAATAAACGCTGGTCATGCCGGTGATGCCCAAATCACTTTAAATAATTTAAAAATGGAGTAAAAACCGAAAGACCTGCGGATGCTGTAAATCAGGAACAAAAACAAAGTTGCTGGAAAAGCTCAGCAGGTCTGACAGCATCTGTGAAGGAACAAGTAGAGGTAATGTTTTGGGTCTGGTGACCCTTCCTCGGAACCTCCTCAGTTCCGAGGAAGGGTCACCGGACCCGAAACATAAACTCTGTTTGTTCCTTAAAAAAATGGAGCGACTGCCTGTCCTTGATCGTCTCCACTTCCTTATCTGTCAGATTAATTACTACAGAGATTTCCATTCTCCTTTCGCACTGCCTCCTGGATCTACAATGTCTGTTCTGTAATACTGGAGAAGATCAATCTCCCCCTCAGATATGAATAGACATTGCAATTAGATGACAGGACTTGCTCAGTCCTGGAGGATCACAACCATCACTTCGGATTCTCACTCACTCAATCACAAACCATCTCTTGATCTTCGAGAATGTGACATGACTTTATAAATATCTCATTCAAAATAGGGAGACAAAATAAAGTAACTTTCTTCATGTCTTTCATTCATACTGTGCTACATGCTGCACACTCAACTGTCATGGGATAAAGCATAACACAGGATAAGTACCTGCCTGTCATTCATTGAAAAGAATAAGAATGAAATAAGACTTGTATTTAAAAAGCAAGTTTCTTGATCTCAGGACATGCTGAAGTGCAATGCAGTTTATTAATTTTACTAACAGTTTTAAAGGAGGAAATGAGGGAGATTTTTTGTCCCCAGATAGGCTCTGATAAACTGCAAATAATTAATGATCAAATAGTCTGGTTTGATGACACTAATTAAAGTTTAGTATTGACTAGGGTGTTGGGGATAACTTCCCTGCTCTTCTCGAAAGGGTTTTCTACATACAGCTGATAGAGACACAGTTCAGCATCTTATCTGAAAGATAGCAATTTCAACAGTGCAGCTCTCTGTGAAGACTGAACTGTCATGTTCATTTTAGTTGTTGCATTTATGCCCTGGGTTGGGCTTTGTACCTACAACTTTCTGATGCAGAATCCAGAGGGTCACCACCTGCCTGACAGTCAACATTAACCTGCAGAAATTCCATATCACTGATCTTACCAGATGTCTGGTTTGTACTTTTCATTAGTGTATTCAGATTCTCCTTTGCCATGTCTGATCGGGTATTCCCGAGACCTGTGAGATATTCCCAGTATTTTGCATCAAAATAATCTTCCATGAACTGCTGTCTGGGGATCATCCGACAGGTAATAGTGTCATGATAGTTGAGTTGAATTCCATTGACCATTGCAATATTAGTCACCTCAGGAAAATCCTTCATGCCAGAGACTGCCATGTAGATCACAGTCAGTGAGTCAGTGCCTGTAAATATCAATGAAAAGAAAGGGTTAACAAACATTTACACAGACACCATCTGATCAAAGTGAGCCCTATCCTCTGTGTAGCAATCTCCAATATTCCACCACTTTGTCAGACCGTCTGAATCAAATTCATCGTCTGGGTCTGAATTAGATGTTGCAGCATCTCTTCTCCACCTTGTACATGACAGATAGCATCTTTACAGGTTTAAGCCAAGTCACAGCACGGTGTTGTATATGAATTATTCTCACTCCTGCCCAAATTTCCTGAGACCACATTCATGTCGAATATGTACAACAACTTGATCTGGGTGACCACAATCTCATGGGCTGTGCTTGAATCTCCATTTCTGGAGGAATGTGATGTCCCTGAATGGCGAGGAACATTCACAGAGCTGCAGAAAGGCCTGTGAGATTGGGGTTGCATCTTCAGTTGGCTTTGAGAATGCCTGAGAGAGAGGAAACAGAGAAGTCACGCTCACCAATGACATCGATGAGGACTGCCAGGTGTTGGTGAAAAGCTGGGTGGGAATTCAAAAAGCTCAAGATAAAAGTTAGTGGTTCTGCCAAATTTCAGTCTTCAACCTGATCGAGTTCTTTGTTATCCCTGATTCAGCATCAATGGAACTGAGAAAAGACCTAACCCCAAACCTCAAATATGGATGATATGACAATCATCGTTGAGGTGCCATTGAGCTACATACAAGTGGAAGCCAATGGCAAAATCACCTTACAAATATGAGGCTCGTTGTGTGATTCGAAGTCACGTTATGAGAAAAGATGTGGAATTGGGCTGGACTGGGAAAGAGGAAGACAGGAAGACTGAGATGGTGGATGCGATCCGAGAGGATCAGGAAAACAAAGGTCTCTGGACAAAGGAGGACACCCAAGATCAGGAAGTGAAGGAGGAACATTGTGAACTACAAACTCCTTCTCAAGGGGAAAGCAAGATGCAAAGGTTCAGTAAGTTCTGGGAATCGCAGTTCTGTGATGGATTCAATGAGGTCAAATCCATCAGTGTTTTTGACACAGCTCAGGAACTTTAGACAGGACTAGAAGACACTATGACGTTATTGAGTATAATTTATCACTGGTTGCTTGCTAGCTTCTGGATAATGTTGTTCTTGGTTTTGTCTTTTGTGTGCATTTTTGCAGATGTTCTCCAGGCCAACATCAGGGTGCTTTCTGTATAAACTGCTCTCGGCCGTTTACCACAACAGAAGGCCAGGAGTTTGCTGTTAGCCAGTCGATTGCTGAGCTGAAAAAGCAGAGACTATGCTCTGAGTTAGTTTTGGGCATGAATGGCATTTGTTGAAATATCACTCCTATGGTTCTAATTCCCGGGACAAAGTGCTGCTGCTTGAATGCTGGTGGAGAATGGAGCAACTCACTGGAGGAGGTGTGTCCATAAATAACCCCCTCCTCACTGATGGAATAGCCCAGCACATCAGTGCAAAGGATAAGGCTGAAGCATTTTCAATAATCCCCAGCCAAAAGTATTGAGTGGATGACACATTTTGGCTTCCCCAAGAGATAACCTGTGCCTCAGATGTCAGTCTTCAGCCGATTTGATTGAGTCCATTTAATATCAAGAAACAGCTGGAGGTCCAGGTCGCTGCAAAGGCTATGGGGCCTGACAACATTCCAGCAAAAACACTGAAGACTGGTGCTCCAGAAATTGCTCCGCCCCAAAGAAAGGTGTAGTAGTACAGCTGCAACAATGGGGTCTACCCAACAATATGGAAAACTGCCTGGACATGACCTGTACACACAAAAAAAAGGACAAATCCAACTTGGCCAATTAACCACCCCATCAGTCTAACTCTCAATCATCAGTCAAGTAACAGAGGGGGTTATCAATAGCTCTATTAAGCAGCAACTGCTCAGCAATAACCTGCTCACTGCCGTCCTGTAATGGGTGAAACCAGAGCCACTGACCTCATTCCAGACTCAGTTCAAACATGGATAAACAGCTGGATTCCAGACCTGAGGTGAAAGGGACGCACTGGACATCAAGGCTTCATTTAACCGAGTGTGGCATTAAGGAGTCCAGCAAAA